GGTATAATTTTTGCTCCTGCTGCAGTCTGTCTTGTTGGTTAAATTTATGGTCGAACTTAGATCTCAAAAAACACGGGCGCACTACATTGTGGAATGGAGGGAATACAACAAATGTTCCAGGTACAGTGCACAAGGATTTAAAAAATACTCACCTTCTCAAGAGGTTGTCTAAGCATGTCGTAGTATTTATGTTCATAATGCCTTGTGTCCCTCCAAAACTGAAGAAGCAAACCAAATAGTGAACACAACAACACAATAGTCCCAAAGTTATAGCAAGATATTATACTTCAACATACATGCTCAAGATTTCCCTTCCACGCCTCGTTTGCAAAATCAACCTGTCAAAAGTTGACGATGAATAATTTCCATGAACACAACGAGTTATAATTGACCTTTAGGAGGAAGCCTACCATTTTAACAGCGTCATGAGATGTATCATCATCCTTTCTTGGTAAGAATTTTTGAAGATCCTGATATTCAAGAAAAAGAATGGGCCCTAATCAACCATGTAATATGAGAAAACAGAGATAGCAAAAGAAGTATACCATTATTGCTCGGATTGCATAACATCCATCAAAGCAATGCCCAGTCAAAGCATTAAATGTATCCAATAATTTCTTAAACGATTCTTTTTCCTTCAAAAGGAAAAAAATGTTAATATACGAAATATGGATTTAAATATAAATATAAATAAGAAAAGTACCCAATCAATAGAAGAAGAATCAATACTGAAAAAGCCTTCTTCATCCAGCAGATCCATCAAACTTGCAAGTTGACCTTTCACCTGGAATTTTTCAATGTAAATACATGGTTCAACTGAGCATTAGATTATACTCTCTGAAAAGTCTGAACCATGAATTGTTCAGAGAGGTTAGGTGTGGTCTTTTTTTTTCCTAGAAGAATTGCATTGAATTACTATTGAGAAGTAGAGCCCTCCATGAAAAAGGACAAGCATCACCAGGAGAGAAGATTACACTAACCTCTCTGAAAAGTCAAGTTGAAAATACAGAACAGGTTTCCATACCTCATCATTAAGATCTCTCAAGCTCTGAGTGTAACCGTTCATTTCGTGTTCCCGCTTAGCAATCTTGGTCATTCGCTATAAAAGAGTAAAAGTGTGTAGGAGAATAATTTGTAACATAATCATCAAAAACAAAAGAAGAAGAGTGTAAAATCGACCAAGGAATTCATGCGAAGTAACAAGTACCTCAAAGGACATTTTGGCAAGATCGTTATCCAGTTCTTCAAACTGACCACTCTCATCATCTCTGCGAGCACTTTCCTGAAAAAAAGACGACATACAAACAATGCATAAAGAAATTAATACTTAATAGATAGATGTGTGGAGCCATATAGTGGAACCTTTCCAACAACAGAAAATTATGTTCTACCATGAAAGAAGAGAAGTCAATAGCATCATCCCGTGTGCATGTCGCCAAATAATTATCCATATAATTATCAAACTCTTCATGCAGACGTACTTGTTTTTTAGCTGTATAATACTGGACAAAAGGACCTCCCAAGTTAATACAGACTAGAAGGTGACCAAGTTAAAAGAGCTAAAGAACCAACAAGTCAAAATTTAGTAGTTGCGAGATGGTAACAACAATATTGTTGATACGACCAAATTCTGGTCTGACTGCTGGTTGCAAGGTGAAACAGTGGCGGAGTTGGCTCCTAATTTGTTCTCTTAATTCTCAAACAAGACATTAATTGGTGACGCTGGCTCAAAAGCTCTTACCAACCGAAGATAGGTGACTGACATTAAGGGACCAGCCGCAGCCTGCAGCATCTTTTCACCCCCGCTGCCTACTATGTGATCAAGCCCCGGAAACTATGCGACACCTCTTGATGGACTGCACCTTCGCCCAGCAAACCTGGCATGAGGTAATGACTCTAGGAGTTCAGATACCTACACCAAACCATGAGGCAACGCTAATGGACTGGTGGCTGCGCGTGACACAAGCAGCAGCAACACTGCAGCGCGAAGCGCTGCCATCCGTCACCCTCATCGTGCCTTGGATGATCTGGAAGCACAGGAACGACGTGCGTCTTCGACAATGCCAGTCCTTCAATTGCAATTCTTGTAGGCAGGATCAAGCACGAGGCCTCTTCTTGGGCTATGGCCGGCGCTCTAGGACTTAAAACTGTCTTGCCCTCCACCTGGGACGTCCACTGACTCCCTCCCATATATTTGTGACCTCCTAGGAGGATTGTACCATATTCTACCTTTTCAATGAAATGAAACGCAAAGGTCTTTTGCGTTTTCTCGAAAAAAGTTAAGGGAGCATTAATTGTGCAAGTTATTGTCGAATATCTTCAAATTTGGGATATGGTTGACAACTTTGTCTTACACCATGTGTGCCGTATCAGCCTGCAATGGTTGCTCTCTGGGATCCATCGAGTTTGCGCCCTGGAAAAGGATTTGGAAATCTTCAGCTCTGCTGCTTTGATTTTTCATCTGATTGGCTGTCAAGAAACGCTGCTGGACAGCTGATTGGTTATCTATAAGCGTGGGCTGCCGCACTCTGCTGCTTGACCATTGTGTGATCAAGAAGAAATTCAGCACATCCTGGTTTCTTGTGTCTCATGGCAAGTCTGGATGCTGGCTCTCCAAAAGTTGGTATATCAGCTACTGCCCCCCAACCTGGTGTAACTTTTTTCTCCAGGTGGTGGTGCAGTGTTATCAAGAGGACTCTCCTAAAGAGATGAGTAAAGGTCTTAAGTCCCTCATCATTCTGGTTGTCGGGAATTATGGAAGCACCGGAATGCTTGTGTGCTGAGGGAGCAAACCCTTGTATTCCTATGGTTTTACAAGTGGTGGCTAGTGAAAGTCGTTTGTGGTGCTTTGCTGGAGCTGCAGCACTCAACAAATTGCTCATGTGGTCACTTACCCTGGACACTTAGTCCACCTTGGGGTAGTGTGTGGTAGTGGTCGCTGTTCTTCTGTGTGTGGCGCAACGGTTTTTTGCGTGTGTTCTGGGAGCAGGCCAGTCAGCCTCTCCTTTGTACTCCCTCCGTCCCAATATAAGTGTCTCAAGCTTAGTACAACTTTGTACAAAAGGCAGTACAAAGTTGAGAGACTTATTTTGGGATGGAGGGTGTACTTTATTCCTTTCATCTTAATGAAACAACACGGAGCTCCCCTGCATCGTTCGAGATGAAGAAAAAGGCAAAAGCTTATAAATAGGTATTTTTCTGGCTTATAAGCCAAAACTAAGCCTAACGAAACACCCCTAAGCTAAAGGCAGTAACCTTTGTAAGCTTGCACCTCCGTTGAGCAGTGAGTTTACTGAAACAGAATTCAGAGCTTAACTAAAAGCTAATGTATAATTTTGTGAAGGATCCTGAATCTCACTTTTGGCAGAAAAATTGGACTAGGCTGTTTTCTCTGGCTCCTTTGACTTGAATAATACTTGTATTTTATCAGGACACCATACAAGTAACACACTGTAACACTGATGCTAGATGACACCAACAGGCAAATTAACAACTCTGGCATTCCTCCATCTCTGTTTGTGATATACTATATTACAATGAAGTAGCTTATGCCGGACTTCACTAAGTTTACGCAGGTTGATCCCCCCAAAATAAAATCTTATAAGTATGTTCAACCATTTAAACAATCAAAGCTTGTCAGCTGGCAGAAGTGTATAAGAAGTTGAACCAACAAGTCTACTGATGAACTATAACATATACACAACAAAAGAGAACTCATAGTTCTGTTCACAACGAGTCAACAATTGCATGCATTCACGTCATATGCTAGTTTTAGATACAATCTTCCGCATAAGCATGTGCACACCAAAAGTTATACGATAGCTATGTGTATAGCCCTGTACTTGCATGTAACAGCCCCTCAGTTACTAGCTTAATAGGTACTCCCTCCATGCTTGAAAAGAAGGCATGCAAGTTTCGTCTAAAGTCAAAAGGCACAAAGTTCGACTAAGTTTATAGAAAAAACTATCAACAACAACAATACTAGATAGGTATAATATGAGGCCTCTTTTGGTTCATAGGATAGGATTATCGTAGGAATAGGAATTTTGTAGGAAATGAGATGACATGTATCTCAAATCCTATGAGTAGGAATAGGAAACGAGATGTCATTTGGTTGACATCAAAGGAATTTTTCCATTGAGTCTAGGCTCATTTTTATTTTCCTATGAAATGTGAAGGATAGGAATCAATCCTATGTAGGAATAGGAATTCATTCCTATGAACCAAAGGGCTCTAAAGGAAAAAAATCCTATAAGAATCCTATCCTCTAAAATTCCTATAAAATTCCTGCAAACCAAAGGAGGCCTGAAAGTATATTTTATTGTGTATTCAGTTATACTAATTTGGTATTGTAGTTTTTGTATAAACTTGGTCAAACTTGGCACTGTTGGACTTCAATCAAAATTTGTAAGCCTTCTTTTCAAGCATGGAGGGAGTACATAATTGTGTTACACAGTTCTAGTAATCCAGACACATTTATTGTAGCACCTGACCATCTCATCAGCAATAATGCTAAATCTATTAGAATATCAGTGCACATAACACAGTTTGGATTTAAAATATGCATGGATACAACTTTGGGAATGGGGAAATACAATTAAAAATAGTAATGGCGTACCCCAGACTGTTCCTTCTTACTCTCGAAGTATACCGATGCATATGGCCGCAAATGCGCCAAGAAATCATCAGGGTCAGGTTCCAATGGCTGTGAGAAAGAACTAGATTAATAAAGTTCTGGCCACGCCCCCCAAAAAAGAAAATTAATGGACAAACCTGAATAATTGCACACCCTTCAGCTAACTCACGGGCACTTGTTAGCAGTAGCTTCTTGTGGCTCTAGAAAATATCAATTATTTAGCTTGCAACATAGGTGAGAAAAAATAATCTAGGATACATACGAAACAACTTTAAGACATCATAATAACCTCGCGTATCAAGGGATGAAACTGAGGCTCCCAGAAAATCAACAACGAATCAAGGAAAATCTACAAGAGAGATAGTCAGTCCAACCTTCCGTCAAATGAATTACAGAGTAAATTAATACTTACATCAACTGCCCTTAGTGCATAACCTTGCCAAAGGTCAGATTGTGGATGACAGCTTTCCTCAAGACAATCCATAACATCATCCGGACAATCAGTTTGCTGTAAATGATCTAGGATCAAGTTAGGGATGTCCCTGTTACAGAAAAGTACTCCCTCCGTTCCTAAATATTTGTCTTTCTAGAGATTTTAACAAGTGACTACATACGAAGCAAAATGAGTGAACCTACATTTCAAAATATGTCTACATACATCCGTATGTTGTAACCATTTGAAATGTCTAGAAAAACAAATATTTAGGAACGAAGGGAGCAAGAACCAGGCCAAATATCTTAATGTAAGGTTTCAGATTGATAAGTTGGAGCAAACACTTGTCGATCTCATCAGTACGTCGCCGATAGCGTACATCACGCACCTTTCTCTTAAAAACAACAAAATAAACTAACATCAAACAGGAATAAAATGCAAGTACATATTGCAAGCTGAAGGTTATCAAGAATACAGTACTCACCCGTAGCATACGGGACATGATTCGCAAATGAGGATGTTGCAAGCTGTTAATGGCATACTTTGCCTTAAACTCTGGATTTAATCTCTCAAGAAGAGCATTACCGTTTAAAAGTTTACGCTGCAAAATTAGTTCATTAGTGCAACTTACAGTTTTATTAACAAAATATAAACTCAGAAAAATTGTAGTGTTCTTAAATCCCCAATGAAGTTATGTTGTACAAAACAAGGCTTTTGAAGGCAACTCCCAAAGGTAACACCCAAGACTTTTCTGGTTGTATCAGTAATCTAACAAGTTTTTTCCAGCTCTATAAGGGCGTACCCAGTGCTGAAAGCTCCCACACAAGGTGTGGTCTGCGGAAGGAATTTCTAGACAGCCTTACCCTTGCATAATAATTCTGCAAGGAGGCTGGTTCGAACCCAGGACCTCCAGGCCACAAGTGGAGAGACTACCACTGTGCCAGGCCCGCCCTTCTTTTTCCAGCTCTATGTCTAGAGGAATTTGTTTTAATTTGAAATGACCGTATCAGAAATCCAACAAGTTTTTTCCAGCTCTATCTCTAGAGGAATTTGTGGAATTTTGAAAATAGCAAATGCAGTCCTAGCAGGAGCTCAAAAAGGCGGTAAAATAAACCAAACATTCAAAATAAATACCCACAAAAAAGAATCATTGCCTCCCAAAAATATTGATTCTTGCAAGCACATGCATGCAACAAGCTGTGTGCCTCCTTAAGTTTAAAAAATGACAATATTTGCATTTGTTCATATGGTTGACTTCGATTGGCACAGTAGGACGCCATGGAACCACAAGAAACACGATGGAATCTAGTTTACTCAAAAACGGTGTAGGCTAGCTTAGATGTGTTTTGGCAGCTGGCACGAATGGGATTAGCGGTGGGAGATGGCATGAGGTGACTGGGTGATGCAAGATGACAGAAGGAGAGAGGATTCAGGAGGGGTCTGTTGCTGCTATGTTCATAGGTTTGCACCTGTCGGATTTGAGAAGGAAGACTGGAAGATGAGTGAATGGACGACTGCCAAGTCCAATCTTTATAAGTAGGAACAAAATGTCAATTGCACATATACAATTTTGTAACGAAAAGTAAAATCATTCCAATTGACAAATGATTTGGGATATCAAATGCATCCAATATTAGAAGCGAAAAATCATATCATACTAGCAAGATGCCCGTGCATTGCACAGAACATCAAGATGCATTATTTTACAAAACACCTATTGTGATTGACCCATGCAGGAGTAATCCCATGTGTAAAAACTAATGATATCTCGAGAATTTCATCGAAAAAATGGTATCTCGAGAATTTCATCAAAAAAATGATATCTCAAGAAAGATGAGAGATAAGGTGAGGAGTGGGGCGCGGTGGTGATTGGTGGTCGGACTTAGCAGAGGCATGGGGATGGACGACGCCGGCAGCGGCCACCATGCCAGATTGTTCCGGAGGCTTCTTTTTCAATTACTCAACAATGAAGTTGTGGGAGATAAGGATGAACAAGAGGTGCGGGTATCCTTTTGCAAAATTGCCATAGTTTGCTTTCTATCTGTCAGATATAGATCGAACGGTCTATATTGCAAGATGGCAGGCACACCATCATCACCAACTCGGTTTTTTATAAGAGTAGAGATAGAGATGTAGCCTAACATAACCCTGGTTCCAGCCAAACTGCCCCTCAATCAAAATTTGTTTTGCATCATCAAGATCCATAAGGGCAAGGCAGGCAACAGCGAGTACATATCATGTGGCATGTGCTAATCAATGGCGAACAAGAACACAATACAAGAAACATCAAGACCAGCATTTGCATCATTCCAACATTGTGCTTACTGGAATTTTATCTTGTTCATTGGTAGGAATCCAAGCCTATAGCAAAATACGTCTTTCAGATAGCAGTTCTCCTAACACTAGAGAACAAGCCGTCTTCACACAAATTTTTAGTTTTAGACACGCCTTTTTCATACTAATATTTGATTGATTGTGATAGCCTACAAGCGATTTTGCCTTGAATGAACGATGAAAAGTTTATCCCGTGAGCTGGGGTCAAAAGGCCTACAGACTTAGAGAACAATGATTTTATTGGCATTTGTGGAACCCCACAACATAATATTTTAAATTATCTGTACATGCCTAGGCAAGTCAATGATGTACAATTACTGTAAGGTACTCATAGAAGGCAAACAAAACATGTGTATGGACACCAGAAAACATGTTTCCTTGACATGGTCAGACACAACGGAGCATTTTATTCAACATTGGATAGTATGTGCTTAATAAATGAATATCACATGATGGAGCAAAAATTACCTCCAGACAGTCGTTCATTGTATCCACCTCATGCAGCATTTCCATATAAGTAGGAAAATATCTGTCAAATTCTTCATTGAACTGCGCAAAGCATAAAAGAGAACATATTGTGAAGAAAAATAAGCACTAGAAGTAAGCCGGGTAACTTCTTTGAATGTGAGACATAAAAATATAAGAAAAACAAGAGAACTCACCTCCCAATTCCACACAGAGTGCTTTGGGAAAATATTTGGAGCAGACAAAGACGCACAGTAATGAAGATACTTCAATTCATTATTGAACCAATCGATGAATCCATCCGCACAGGTTTTTCTGTCTACATTTCGCCATTCGTCATAGTAACCTGGTAAAAAATACATGCATCATAGTAGAATTCACTTACAGTGTTTGACTGAGCTGAGCTTTGCCGAGAAGAAAAGGCTGATGCCAGTATACCAAAGCAGCATAATAGCTATATGCTCGTGATTTAAGTTAACCTTTACAAAAGTATCTCACACCTAAGGCCAATCATACTATAGGGAGCTAAATGGAAAATCCAGAAGGACCAGCAACCAACTTGCTTTGTTACTACAGTGCACTCATGGATTATTATCCACATGATCACTCAGGCATCATTACATTGCATCTCATGCCAATAATTATGTAATGCATTTTAGACTTAGAAGTACAACAATCACCAAGAAATGTCAATATGCTATTTAATTTAATGCAGTTTACTCCGAACCATCTAGAAGAATTGGTCCATTAGCAACCAGTAATAAGCTAGATAACAATGATCCAAAAGAAGTCATGGCATGTCACTGTCAATATTAGACCTTATAGCCATCAAATTTTACAGACTCAAGAAAGTAATTACCAATTAGCACACAGAATTTAGACCTGCTATTTACGAAAACAGGACAGAAAACTTCTGTACAACACATTTTGTATTGATTTGAGCGCAAATATGGCTTGGACCCTTGAGATAACAACAAATTACAAGTACACAATAGGAGGAGATACATTCATAACTTGCCTGATTGTGTAAGTAAACTTTGTATATTTCTTGACCAAGGCAAACAACATCATCCATAGAACTCACTTCATTGCTTGAACTTAACTCCGATCTTAACCGTGAGATTCCACTTTGAGGACTCCTATCACTAAAACGGACAATGGTTGGAAGCATTTCATTAAGAATAAACTGTTTCAGTCTCTCATCATCAGTAGCAACAGCAAGGCGGATCAATGCATGAAAAAAGGGTAGTGCTTCCATAGTTGCTTGATGATCCACCAAACACCCAAACAAGTACATACTAAACCTCCCAAAGCAATTGTGAAGTAAAAGATACCTACAAGAAGCATTGCTAAGTAGTAAGTAAATATGTAGTGATCACACAAAAAAAAACTAACTGAATGACGTTCATACCCCATAAGAGAGCTGGAAGATATGGATTTCAAGTCAGACTTTGGACAATTCAAATCCGGAAGGCCGCTATTAAGTTCTTTTGATGCTAAGACCCTGAGCAATAAAGATACAGAACGAGTGAATTTAAGCACCAGCTCCACTTCTAATTTCTTGAGTTTGTCTTCCGGTCCGTATAGATCGCCAAAGAAATCTGGTACTTTAGCTCGGCCCTCGTGTATAAGACTGAGCCACGCATAACGAAAATTTCGCTCACAGTAGAAAAATAAAGATTCCAACAACAACAGCACCCATTTGTCCCAACATTCTCGAGGGCAACATCTGACTAATGGAATGAAGGTGAGCTCTATGAATTTCCCCAAATGATCAAATTCCATGAAGCTTATATCCGCCACAAGAGCATGGATGAAAAGAGAGCTGTCCAATTCAAAAAATGATCTTCCAACGTTCGCGCACAAGCCTATGACATTGTACCTGCAACATTATAATCTTTCAAACACCCAGACAATTGAAAGATCAGCTGGAAGCAGTTCAGTGTCATCTGGCACATTAGGACCTCCATTGCAGGGTATTAAATAGTGATCTGAACATAAATGCACATGTTGGCCAACTAATAGGCGACATGTCCAACAGCTAGGTGTAGCAGAGATGCGCATGCTGGGATGGATATGTGGCCACATAAGAAAGGATCGGGTCCGGAATGATGAGATACATGATAGAGTTGGGGTGGCACCAATTGAAGAGAAGCTTGTCCAACATCGTCTGAGATGGTTTGGGCATATACAGCGCAGGCCTCCAGAAGTGCCAGTGCATAGCAGACGGTTAAGGTGTCCTGACAATGTCAAGAGAGGTCGGGACAGACCAAACTTAACGTGGGAGGAGTCCGTAAAGAGGTATGAAGGACTGAAATATCACCAAAGATTTAGCCATGGAAGTTAGCTATCCACGGGCCAGAACCATGACTTGTTGTTGTTGTACGACTTCACAATATAGAAAGGGTGTATATCACTAATGCACCCGGAATACAATTCTTTTAAAACATATCTCTAGAAACAATAGAATCGGTTTGACAAACAGGTGTGAAGCAGCAGACTTACCCAGTCTCTCGAATTTCACGTAAGCGTGTTCCGATAGCATCCACCCTAATAGCATCAACTCCATCATTGTCAGGTAAACTATTAGTCTCCGGTAGAAAAGTGAATATCTCCATGGTACTCATGAGTTTAGCTCTTCTAATAATTTCTGGCAGATCATACGCAGACTGATCCGTCCAAGCCATGTGTATGAAATGAAGGATCTGAAGTAAATGTGAAACATTGTAACTACATAATCACAATAAACCATGAAAAACAGCAATGTAAACTTGGTAGTTTTCATAAGCATTTGAACAGAGGGAGAACCTCAAAAAAATATCACTAGTTGTGTCACTGACAAATGGGGCCCATGCACATACATCTCTGCAATACTAGTTTAAAAACAGAAGTGATTTTTCCTATTTGCTCTCTGAAAAATCCTAAAAGTATATGGGTTCTACTGTCACAATCTGTAAAAAATTAAATGTTTGTGGTAGTTATTTACCCGTAAGAGCAGGGTAAGCATTAGCTGTAGAAAGGTAGATGAGTGCTGGTAATTAGCAATTGATGTTGGAGAGCATTTTTCCTGTGTTCCTGTAGAATGTTCAATTTTGCTTCCTTTGATCTCCTCAAATGACTTTACCAACAAATGTACTGTCTTCATAAATTGATCATCGCAAAGAAGACCAGACAGACGATATGTGTAACTCATGTATTCTTCATCCCACTCTGACTGGGTCCAAATTTTGTTCAAAGGGTTCAACAGAGACATAAGCAACTGCTTCTTACATTCAATCCTGACAGACAAAAGGCATAAAAATTGTTTTGCGTCATGATCAGCTGTAGTGAACTTTATAAATTAGTGCACTTAATGCGACAACATGGAAGTCTAAAATGATGTTATTGCCAATGTACCCTGGGCAGGCCATCACACTGATGAATGCTTCAGACAGGAGATTGTGCTCCCAAAGAAGTAGCTTGGCCTTTCCTTGATAGCCTGGCATTACTTGAAACTTACCCTGCACCATCAGTGATACTAGAACAGTCAGGGACGTAAATCCCTAGAGCAGCATAGCAAAAACTACGATGGCTATTTTCAGTATCCAAACCTCAGAGCAAAACATAAGCTACGATGCGCCAATAAGATTCGGGATACAACAACAACAACAAAGCCTTACAGGGCCTGTTTGGATTCATGCCAAAGCACTCCCTACCAAAAAGTTGGCTAGCCCACATAATTTAGCTACTGTTTGTATCGATGCCAGAAAATTGGCTCGCCCACCTTGCCGGCTCCCCTCCATGTTATTCACGCCAATGTATGGGCGAGACGAGGGTGCCGAAAAGCTTCGCCAAAAGATTGGCGTGGCGACTTCGGTTGTTAAATTGGTGGGCCCGGCGTGCATGCAGTAGGATTTGGCAATTATTTTGGCTTCTAAACAATCAGCAGCGCTTTTTACTGAATATAAAAAATGTGGGCCTTTGCGTGATTACTGCATGCAACGTGGTGGCGCACATAATTAACGACTTCCAACTGCAGCATCTCTCTCTTGTATAATTGATGACTTCTCTCTTCACGCCCACTCTTAGAATCAATTTGTAATTTTCTTAATGTTAGATAATAAATGTATTTATATACTTCCAAATCTAGTATCTCAATTTTCGTGGCCATAATGGTCACAATCCAAACAACAACATGCCAAAATTTTGGAGGCTGTAATGGTCACAATCCAAACACCAATGGCTTGCCAATATTTTGGTAGGGCTAACTGGGGCTCAAACTAAACATACCCTCAGTCCCAAACATGTTGGGGTAGGCTAGTGTTCAAACCCATAAGATTCAAGATATTCAAAGAAATAAAACTTCGCCACACCCCAAAACTCTGCAATGTATTTACTGCTCGACGACAGCAACCTCTCCACTAGGGCTCCATCCCTTCCGTCAGCTTCCCTATTTTTCTTACCTATGCTAGCATTGAAACTAGATGTTTATTTTTGTCCCTATTTGGGGATTCTTCCACCTCTCCATTGCTGGTTCTCTCCTCAATGGCCATTGTCAACCCATCATATACCGGTTGAGCATGATTTAGCCTGGGTACATGTTTAATGCTAGAGTGCATGTTTAGTTGGCAAGATGGATTTCTTCTCTAGCCTATGGCGTGGCAAGGTCGGCTGGAGCCAAGTCAATGGGAAAATATAAAAGAGTGCATATGGTGAGCCTGGATAAGGTGTAAACCGAAGTGCAATGTGCCCATCCGTAAATTGATAATAACATGGTCCACAAAAAAATAATTCAGTTATTTAGTCTTCAAACCAACCACAATTCCCGCACATACACCATATTCAACCAAAAAAACCTGTTACAGTGCACGTACACAGCCTAACTAGCTCCAGTCTAACTCTTACAAACCAGGTTACAATAAGTCCAAATTCCGATACTGTGATGATGGTGCATTACAATTATACATGTTACTCCCTCCGTTCCATTTGAACCAAAACCGCGACAAGAATTACGGAACACAGGGAGTACAAGGTAGGTCAAGTCACAATCATACAGTTTCATAATGAAAACACCTACAGGACATGTGTATTATCATAACTCCAAAAACAAATGTTTTAAGAATCACTTGAACTTTAGAAGAGGTAATTCGGCAACCACAAGTCCAAATATGTGGGGTAAAAACAATAAGAAAATGGAGAGAATAACACTACACTTACCAGACATTTTGACCCAAAAGACTCGGTGGGTCTTTCCAAATCACTAGTAGCATTACCCTGAACAGGATCATACTCTTGATCATCAAGATTGTTAACAGCCAGGGCCTGATGGAAGATAGGCAACAAGATATAAACATATATTGTTGATGGATAGGTATAGTATCACGCACAGTACTTGTTAATGAGTTCTTTGAAGGAAGCCCCACCTCCAATCCTGGTTTATCAGTGTCATTTACCACTTGCTTCACAGATAAGCTAGTGGATGGATCAGCTTTGAGACATGAAGGTTTAAAACAAGAATCAGGAGAAGGTGGTATAATGAGTGGATATTCTAGATAGGGAAGAGCAACTGATAAGCCTGCATTTTCATCTTTCTGAGCCCAAGGTCCCAGCCTTGCAGTTTGAACATGTATTTGACGAGATGACATTGTATTGGAGGATGCAGAGAGGTCAGTAGTGTGTCTGTCTTGACTCCCATCTCCCCCTACAGAAGAAGAAAAATATAAGAAATGAGCAGACACATTTGACAACTATGCATAGATATTCAATATGTATTCCAGTGCTGATGAGTAGTAACAAAAAGAACGCAACATCCTATATATCTAAGCAGGTGATCCCATTTTCGAGCACATGCGAGCCCTCCACATTCCATTTTCCAGCACATGCAAGACTTCCACACCATTATTTTCTTTTTCAGCAACAAAAAATTCAACTGAAGCAGGTCACGAGCTATTATAACATGCAACCAACCTCCATTTACTGCTATTTCTGATATTGTTCATATGGCAAGAATATCGAGGGGTATTATTCTCATACATTCTAATTATATTTTCAATAATTTTATTGCTATATATATAAATTCCTGCAGCAATTCCAGCATACTCTCTCCATAACTACTCCCTCCATTCCAAACAAAGCTAGAACATCTTATAATTTGGTAAGGACAGAGTACATTGTAAGCAGGAAAGGGTCTATTATTTTTAGCCACTAGGTTAAATTTAATTATTAAAAGACACTCTGCACATAAACTAGTACCAGGATATAGCAATATTTTGCGTCTGCAAGTTTGATGGTTGCCATTTCTCAACTATTATGTTTTCAGATAGAATTTACTATTGAATCCTCAAAAAAAAGGTCAGATTAAAACAAGTACAACTCATGACAAAACTAGAACATCTTACAATTTGGAAAGGACGGAGTACATGGTAAGCAGAAAAGTATCTATAACTTTTAGCTGCTAGGCTAAAATTTAATCATTAAAAGATGTTCTGCGCATAAAACTAGTACCAGGATACTGTCCATATTTTGCATCTGCAAGTTTGATGGTTGCCCTTTCTTAACTATTATTATGTTTTCAGATGGAATTTACCGTTGAATCCTCAAAAATGTTGAGTTACTATATACTCCATTTATTTTCTCTCCAGCAAGAGTTCTCAAACAATACCATGTTAGTGGCTTAAGAGCAAAAGGTGCATCTTACCTTTGTTCTGTTTGATGGAATAAAAGGCTAGTACATCTTCTTCCGTGATGTAAGGAGAGAAGAAATCCTGCGTGTCAATCGATTTATTAACTTGAGAATTAAAGACACTTCACAAAATTGATTTACACATTTCTACTTGGTTTTATTGTCAATAATTGCCAAAATCATGTAATAAAATAACCAAGCTAAAAGATCTCCAACAGAGCTGAATATGCATATATCCCATAAAGCGGAAGTACCACTTAACCTTACCAAACAAGTTAGTACGAAGTAAAAACAGAAATACCCCCTGTTGTACTGTGTGTGTGCATGCGCTTAAGGCCCATGTGGCCCATGTAACCCAGCAAACTATATATGTGCTGCCCTCCTGCATAGGAAACACTTAACCCCAAAAGAATACAACACCACAGGTCAGCTCTCTATCCTAGCCGCCACCCCTCTCTCCGGTACTTCAACATGGGGTCAGAGCTTGGGTTCCCAGCAGTGTTGATTGTCGCTGGCTGGTGATGCTTGCGGCGACTGTCTGGGAGGAGGAGGCTTGTATGGAAGGGAGGTGAAAACACAGATCTGAGGGGTGGAGGTAGCAGAGAGGTTGAAAGTGGGGAGCCGTGGTTGCTCGAGGTTGCTAGGGGTGTAACTCAAGCTTGGAAAGATAGGGGACAGCCAGAGATTGGCAAAGGCGTTGGAGAAGCTAGCTGAGCTCCTTGCCGTCAAGGCAGAGGGTGTGCCTTACCCAGGTGTGCTTGTTCCTCAGCCTGAGGTGATTCAGAAAATAGAATTGATGCCAAATGACATCAACCTGACCTAAGCTGGTCTAGAAGGGCATTGCTAATATTGTGGACAAAGGGGCTGAAAGGCTATGTCAATGAACCGGAAAACAGGGCAAGTGAAGAGAGGAAGAAGTGGAGTGTCATCAACTCTCTGGTGGTGGCATGGCTGCTGAACTTCTTGACTCCATCCATTGCAGCAGCCGTGGAGACTCTTCCCCATGCAAGCAGAGGTATGGAAAACCCTGGAAACAATGTAATCCGGGAAAGGGAACATAATGCTTATGGCACAGACTGAGGATAGAGTAAATGAGTTAAAGCAGGGGGATAAATCGGTGATGGAATATGTAGCAAAATTGCAGCATTTGTGGGCTGACTTAGACCGCTATGATCCACTGGAATTGCCACATTCAGAATGTATATAGTTGCCACTTGCCACTAAGAAGTGGGTAGAGCATAGGAGAGATGAAATTCTTGAAAGGACTTCACTCAGAATTTGAAGGGAGGCGTGCTGGTTCTTTCATCAGCCAAAGCTTCCCTCACTTGAGGAGGCAGTTGCAGAAATGGCACAAGAGGAGGTCAGGTTTAAGTTGACCAAGATTGGAGAAGATGGCTGGAAGGAAACATGGGACAGGAATCAGGCATAGTGGATTGTTGTACATGGATCGTCAAGTGTCTAGGTCTGGTGCTAGTCCTGTTTTGGCAGACTAGTTGGAGGAAGTGAGACAATGGCAATGATCCATCACTGCCACATGCCCACATGGGGCATATGGCTTTTGATAAGATGAGTAAGCTGTCTCCTGCTGTAATGTGTGGAATAGACACGAGTAAAGCTTATGTGTGATGCATGTGAACATGCAAAGTACACAAGAATCAAATATTAAGAATCAAATATTTGAGTAACGGGCTCAGGAGTATATCCCTGTTTATGTTGATTCACTGATGTGTGGACATGTCCTGTCATTTCTATTGGTGGAATGAAATATTTTGTGACATTTATAGATTGCCACATTCACATGACTTGGGTGTACCTCCTGCTACA